GGCTGCCGCATCTTCCCCGGAACTGGCTTCCCCGGATTTTGCCACTTCCCGCACTGACCGCAGTTGCCCATCGATGCTCCGTGGCGGCCGCCGAGGCGTCTCCCTCTCCGCTACTACTGCTGGGCTGACAGCCGGACCGTCCTCCACTTCACTGCCTCTCCTTCCATTGCTCGCCGTGCTACCGCGATCCTTCGGTCTACGGCTCCAATGTAACGCGTTTTCTCCCTCTCTCCTCCAAATCGCCTAATTAACCGACTCGACTACTACCATTGGCCGTGTATAGTACGGTTGCCGTTTGTCGCCGCGCACCCTGACAGGGCCGTACGTTACTTCCATCTCTCTCGCATTCGATCACTAGGATCGCGACGAGGCAGGGGCGGCCAAACACACCGAGCGCCGAGAAAGGGGGGGGGGCCGTTCCAGTCGTCCAGTGAGATACGCGAGGGGGGGGGGTGCCGGTCACGAAGTGGATAAGTGCACAAAAGTAGGCAGTAATTAGTAGAACTAGAAGTGTTTATTAGCGCAACTACAAACCGATGTGTCTGCGCACACTCACGCTATAACGATCACTATCAGTGTACGTAGGCCTAATGCTACATACACATTATCACATACTAGCTACAGCATACATGATACAGCTACAGCTACATACAGCCGCATACAGAACACTAATACTTATACATACCACGTACACTAGTAGTAGTAGTGTGGTAGTACTACTACTAGTACCGTACGCGCACTACGAAGCACTCATAATAGCCACTACAAATTACAGTACGCGCACGGTTAAGTTAACATCGGACGCATTCTAAAAACACAACTGGCCGCCATCCCTCTCTGGCGTATCTCCCCTTCGCCGCCGTTTTCTCTATTGTTCTCACTTCTGGACCGTCCTCGCGGCTAGCGCATCTCTCGTAAAATAAACTGCACATCGTGCTACCGAAACGCACGATACCAAAAGCGAATCTGTACAATATGTATATATATATATATATTAATTATATTATATATATATATATATATATATATATATATATATATAATATATATATGAGTATATGTGTATAATGCAGGGACATCGATGCGCTCATCTACGACGCTGTGCCGCTGCGCTACGAGGAGGGAGCGGACGAGGGCTGTGACGTAGAGACGGTCGGCGTCTGGTCGTCGATGACAGGTTACGGCATCGCCTTCCCGATGAACAACTCCGGTCTCAGACACGAGGTCGACAGGGTGCTGCTGCAGCTACAGGGCAACGGTATTGCGCATGCGTGCACCCACACGGCTACACTTAGGTGCTCGCACACTTCTCAAACACCCGCGCACGCTCACGCGCACGAACGCGCACGAACGCGCGCACGCACCCAGGCACATACACACACGCGCGCGCGCACGCGTGAACACCCACACGCATGCAGGCACACACACGCACACACTTACGTACACGCACACACACACACCCGCGCACACACGCACGCACACGCGCGCGCATACGCGCATGCGTGCGCACACAGTATAGCCGTACATATTCCGCATACTTTAGTATAGGTCAACCTTACCCTTTTTAAATTAAACATGATCAGATAAAATTACTCTTCAAGCAAAACCTTTTGTGTTGTATATATGTCCTGTTCGATTTGTGTCCATGATATCGGCTCCTTTCCTGTTTCATATCGCGTATACAGGCGCATTCGCCTGCGCACTATAGGATATTATAAGTATACCTATACACGAAACAGGCGCACGCTTCGTGTCATTTACGTGACTTCTGACTTACCATCCCTGCATTGCCACACGAACCTGTATGCCCTGTACGCGTGTATACGATTATAAGGTTTCACGATATTGCTACTATACCACTCTTATCAGATTTCAGCGTTGTAGAAACAGCAAACGATTTACACAGAGTCCGGATGCGCTACGGAGGAGCCATTATCGACGACGCCATCTTTAAATCGATCTTCTGTTTTCCTCCTGACGGTGTCACTGCGCAGTGCCGACGCACGTGGTTCGTAGGAGCATGTCATGTGATCAATGCAGGCGAAGCAGCAGAGGTGGCGGGTAGCTAAGCTACAGCTGCGTAACTTCCAGGGAGTGTGTTTTACATGATGCTAGCCAGGCCCGCTAGATTCATGACACACGTTTGGTCTTCGTAAGGTAGGCGCGTGCAGCGGCCGGCGTAGGGAGATCGTCTGAGCTCATGTTACCATACGATGCCCGCACGTTTGGGCCGCGCACGCACCCAAGCAACTGGGCAGGTGTGAAGAGAGCTTTGCGGGGGTGAGACAGAACAAGGTGGGCAACGTTAGATAGAACAGAATGTGAACAGAAGGTGAACAGTAATAGATCAGGTGAACAGAGCAGGGCCACACTGAGGCCAGAGTCGGGCAGGGGTTGGGCGCGGTAGGAATAGAGGTGAGATAGGTAATATAGAGAGGTGCATGGGTAAAGTAGGGTAGGGTGGGACGGGCGGGACGGTGCAGGTGGGAGTGGGAGTGAC